CATGAATGAATTTCATGCACCGGGCCTCTAGTATCTTATATCCTCTCGTATTTTCAGTCTCTTTATATTCCATATAAATACATTCAATCTATCATCCAGTTCACTAATCCTATCTTCAGTGGTAGAATCTATCTTCAGTGATGGAACCCATTTTTCAAAGTTTTTTTTTTTTTTTTACTTTCAACTACTAAAAATTTAATTTTGAGAATTTCTATGTAAACTGTTCTCTGTTTCTGTCAAGTTATTCATACTCATTACTTACGCTTGTCTTATATTTATTTAAACATATTGTATTAGTCATCTCAGAATGCCATAACAAAATACTACAGACTGGATGGCTTAAAACACAGAGATGTATTTTCTCATAGCCCAAAGGCTGGAAGTCCAAGATCAGGATACCAGAATGGTCAGGTTCTTGGTAAGAGCTCTCTTCCTGGCTTCCAGATGGCACCTCCCTAGAGAGTCCTCAGATGGTGGAGAGAAGGCAAGCTCTCTGGGTCTTTTCTCATAGGCACTAATCCAGTCAGGGCCCCATCTTTGACTTCATTTAACCCTAATTACTTCCTTACTCCAAATACTGTCACATTGGGGCTTGAATCTATACTAGTAAGTTCTAGGGCAGGGGTGGGCAATCCCTGGCACGCGTGCCAAACATGGCACGCCAGTAACTTTCGCTGGCACGCGAAACCCTCTCTTATAATCTTACATTTACAATTTTTTTCTTAATATTGACTTTTTTATTTTTCAGATAAATTCAGTGTAGGTGCATCTTAGATAAATAATTTTACATAACATGTATACATTAAAAAATAAATGTACTTTTCATCATCATATACTGTGTTTTTGTCGCTCGAATGAATTTTATTATTTCTTCAAGGTTCTTCACGTATGTACACCTTAAGAGATATCAAGTAGGCATAACATGTTCTCAAAAAATTAGGGTTGGCACGCAGAAGAATTTGGAGTCAGAGATTTTGCTGGTTTTGGCACGCACTCACAAAAAGGTTGCCCACCCTGTTCTAGGGCGACCCAATTCAGTCCATTGCACATATTAAACTTAGTTACGTCCAAGTCTGTGTCTTATACTAGTAGTCTAGCATCTGAATGCATAAAGGTTCTATTCTGACCTCTGGTTTTTTTATTTGTTTTTCTGCTGGTTCTCACAGATGATGCCTAGCCTCTTAGTATGTTTTGTGATTTTGTTTTACAGTGAGTTGCTCATTTTTGCTGGAATTTCACCTGTAGGAATTCTTGAAGGCCTGGATTGAGTTTGAATTTGTTCAGGGAAGATTTACATTTTTACCTCTTGGCCAACTAGAGGCCTCACACCAGGGGATCACTTTAAATAACATTATCAGCTTGCATTTTTCTTTTCACAAAACTCTGTAAATCCATGTGACGTTCGGTTTGTGGTTACAGATTTTCAGATGATTCCTTTTTGCAACATCCAGTACCAACAAGACATGCATGCAAGCTTTTCTTGCTGTCTCCTTTGCTCCAGTGAAATTGTTTTTCCCACTCATCTTACACTGAGGGTCGGGTCCCAGCTTTGTGGAAGGGTCTCACATTTGATTCCTTGTTTTTGTAGCCCCCAGATTTGCCTTCTGTTCGGCATGCCCCACATAGCGTATTAAGGTAAGTTCTCCAGTGTTGGCTGAAAACCTCAGAGAAAAAGGCAAAGGTAGAGGTTGCTTGTCTCCCAAGGTTCATGATTGCACTTTGGGCTCTGTGAATTCTTTATTGTCTTTCCAGTTCAGAGAGACTTTTAGAATGCTGTGTGTGTGTGTGTGTGTGTGCTTTAACTGACATTCTTATCATTTAATTAGAAAAGTATGGTGAATTATTAGACTAATGGTCCCCAATGAAGTATACCTCTGTGTTGGTGCTCCTTTGCAACGTAACCTTGCTACTCTAGCTCCTTCTTGCCGGGAGCCGGTCCATCCTTGCTGTTTCAAGGGACCTGGCGTATATGACATACTGTTCTTAATGTTTGCTCACCTTCTTGGTGCTATGTGTTTTAACCAAGGTCACCTCTCCGAGAAAGGTTGTTTCCCCAGGTAGGGATTTCCCCCTGAAGTTAGGGAGGGAATAAAACCTCTCAACTAAGTGCCAGGCGGGTAATTAATCACTTTAACTACGAACAATCATGCTTAAGCTACATAATCTTTACTCCCTGGAATGGGGATAAGAAATGCCCTAACCTTTGGAATAGAGATTGATAGGATTGGAATCAATTGGTATAAATACAGATGTAAGAAGACAACAGGATACAGAAGCTAAAGACAGAACCTAGCGAGAGAACATGGCAAAGATCCTGGATAGATCCTGGCTACAGAAATTGGTGACTGAACCTGGCTGGAGAACCTGGACAGAACCTGGCTGGAGAACCTAGCAAGAGAACATGGACACAGAACTTGGCTGGAGATTGTGGCTAGAGATCCTGGCAAGGCTGCTGATCAACTGAACGCTGTCTCCATGTCATTCCTTCTTCGCCGACTCTGTCCACACCTTTGGGGACCCCTGGACCTGCTGGGATTGGACCCCAGCACCTTCTATCTAAAAGTGAGGTCTGTTTCCCCACTCCTTGATCTGGGCTGGGCTGTGACTTGCTTTGACAATAGAATGTGGTGTAGGTGACTTAAGAGGCCTTTGGCTTTTGCTTTCCTTGAACATTTCCGCCATCATGTGAAGAAGACCTAGATGGAAGATCACATGACAGAGGTGGAGCCATTGAAGCCACCTCAGCTGAGACCTCAGACATGTGAGAGAGGACATGTGAGAATGGCTATTCTCCACCCCACCCGCCAACTGAAAGCAGCCACATGAGTGAGCTCAGGTGAGACAAGCAGAATCTCTCAGCCAATTGTGAGAGATAATAAATTATTTTTGTTTTAAGCCACTACATTTTGGGGTGGTTTGTTACACACCAACAGGAAACTGATACAAAGGGTCATTTGGGATATCTAATCTCCCATTTTGCTGGAAAAGGAAGTCCCCGGTGTGGAAGGTAGGAACCTAAAAGGAGTAAAGAGGGCATCCATGTTGGGAGGAGGAAGGAAGTGGTGAAACAGAAATTATTCACAGTAAGGGGATTGATGAAATCAGATATTAAGAATAATGGGAGAGCCTTTCTAGACTAAATCTCTTTGCCTGCCCCCTTCCAGCCCCCAGCCCACCATGATCCCTCCAGGCAACATCCTGCTTCTACTTTTGCTCCCAGTGGTTGCTGCTCAGATAACTCCACATTCCTGTTCAGGATGTCGGCCCCTCCCCCTGCCACTCCCGGCAGACCTTGTAGCTGCTGACGCTGTGGTGTCTCTGCTGATCGTGGTGGTGGTGTTTATGTGTGCCAGCCCATGTGACACGCCCATCCAAGAAGATGGCAAAGTCTACATCAACACGCCTGGCAAGGGCTGACCCCTGTAACTGGGACCTCTGACTTCTGAGAGGGAAATATAGAAGTTATATATAAGTATATAAATATATCACCTAAATCTTCCTATTAAGATATACTTAATAGTGTGGTGGCACAGGAAACCTACTCAATAAAGCAACTGAAATACCTCTAAAAAAAAAAAGAATAATGGGAGTTAATTTTCTCACTGTTGGAAAAGGATGTTAAAAATATGGAAACAAGAAAACTAATATCCAAGGACATTTCCCTGGAACTCATGGTTGTAAATTATATATATATATGGAGAGAGAGAGAGAAATATAGAAGTTATATATATGTATATAAATATAGCACCTAAATCTTCCTATTAAGATATACTTAATAGGAAGTACAGCACCCCAAAAGCAATGAGCATACCTAACATCCAGATCTTCACTTCTAAAAACCATTCTTCACTAAAAAAAAAATCATGTCTCTTTGGTGAAATGGCTAATTACAAGCTCTGGCCAAGGAAAATATCAGATGTGTTGGGAACATTTTTTCAGTGTTAGAAAGTTGCAAATTGCTCATAAAATGATAGAAACGTATCAAAAGTACATAGAAACTAATTGAAGGGGCTCTAACTAGCCAAATATGGCATGATTTGATCATCAAAAAATAATGATAATAATGGGTTATAATTCATTTAATAAAATAGGAGTCCAAGCATCCATATAGATTTTTTTAAATTAATGAATAAAGTGAAAGTTTGGTAAGACACAGTATAATTACATGGTATCAAAGTTACTCCCCACAAATTATTTATTACATACACAGACAAATAGAGTGATTTTACATGGAGAAGCATGGCAGACACCACCTTAACCAAGTGATCTAACTTTTCATCAGCAATAAGGTAACAAATTAAAATGATACATGATGTATAGAATGCAATCAGAACACAGCTTAAGCACTGTGGTGTGCCTGCCCAAAGATGGGTAGCTTGTATCTAACCATGAGGAAGCAAACAGATCTCTATTAGTTAGCTATTGCTGTGTAAAAAATTACCCCCAAACTTTGAGGATTAAAATAGCATTTATTAGGGTTAAGGGAATCAAATATATGGTGATGGAAGGAGATTTGACTTTGGGTGGTAAACCCACAATACAATATACAGATGATGTGTTATACAATTGTATACCTGAAACTTATATAATTTGATTAGCCAATGCCCCCCTCCCCCCGAATAAATGTAATTTAAAAATTTAAAAAGTAGCAGTATTTATTATCTTTCACAGTTTCCGTGGCTCAGGAATTTGGGATCAGCTTGGATGGGCAGCTCTGGCTTATGTTCCTGAGGTTGCAGGAAAGCCCACTTTCAAAGTGGCTTACCCTCATGGCCAATGGTTCTCAACCTTGGCTGCATATTAGAATCACCTGGGCATCTTTTTAAAATCCTGATTTCTGGGCCTCATCCTCCGGACTTTCTGTTTCTTTGTTACTAATGTTGTAGCCCCACCCCATAACAAAGAAACAGAATTTCTGGAGGATGAGGCCCAGGAATCAGGATTTTAAAAAGATTCCCAGGTGATTCTAATGTGCAGCCAAGTTGAGAACCACTGAACGACTGCTGTAGACACATACCGTCACTTCTTCACTAGTCTCCTGGCCACGCCACTTCTGGTTCCGAGTGGGAGGGGACTACACCGAAGGGTGTGAATACCAGGAGAAGAGGATCATTGCTGACCATCTCGGAGTTTAGCTACCACAAACCCCAATTAAGGGACAAAACTGCTGACCTGTGATTTTCCAAAGCATTAAAATCACGAAAGTTAAGCAAATGCTGACGTACTGACTCATATTAAAGGTGACTAAAGAGACATCACTAAATTCAACACATAATTTGGGACTGGATCCTTTGCTATAAAGGCCACTATTAGGTAATTGAGGAAACCTGAATGAGGTTAGAGGCGCAAAGGTCGGTGTTAATTTCCTAATTAAAATGGCTGTAAGGCACACCTCACTTTATTGTGCTTTCTTTATTGCGCTTCACAGATGTTGTGTTTTTTACAAATTGAAGGTGAGACTCTCCACCAGCAGAAAGATTCTGACTTGCTCTGTTGCGACACTTGCTTTATTGAGGAGGTCTGGAACCAAACCTGCAATTTCTCCAAGGTAGGCATGTATACTGGAATTTTCTTATTTGAAGGAAAGACACAATAAAAATTTGGGAGTGATAGGGTATCGTGTCTCAACTTCCTCTCATTTTTTCTGAATATCTCAGATGTTGAAAGAAAAACACACATAGCTTTAAACCCAAAGAAATAATTTAAACTACTTAAAAACACAGATGCTTAGGGGTTTTGATATTACAATTCCTTAACCCACATTATTTTAATGGGCCTTCTTTTAAAAAGTCACTGTACCTTAAACTTGAGAAGCACAGAAAAAGACAAAGGAAATATCTATAGCATTCTGGCATTTAGCTTTCTGGTCCTTGTTCTGTACATATATGTATATTCACATATCCTTTTAAAAAACAAATTATAAATATGATATCCTGTTGTTTAGGTCTTTATCATAAACCTTTCCCTAGGTCAATAATGTTCTTCTACAGTGTAAAGAGAGACCACTTACCCGCTTTCATACATCAAGTCAACAATGAGGATGAGGTCCAGGACTAGGTTTGCCTGCCTCCAAAGCCTGTATCTTTTCTCCCTGTACCAACTCCACTCCTTGCCCCAAGCAGGAACACACACACACACACCCCACAACTTTTTTTAACCACCAAAATGTACCAACAATGACAACAACGCTTGTCATCTCTGCAGCTTTTCCTAGTTCCCGGCACCTGTTCATACCCATAGCTCCAGGATCTTCCAAAGAGGTACATTATGTTTTAATGTGCCACCTTCATCCTCAGGTCATTTACATAGCAAATAGCTGTGACAGTCTCCATTTCAGAATATTCTTTCCAGGAGGCTTATTTAAAAGAGTACTGCCTGGTTTACTCCTGGCCCCTCCATAAGTGATGATGGGATATGTCAGTGAATGAGTCAATCCACCAATATTTGAATATCCACTGTGCACAAGATTCTGCATCTAAGAGCTCTTAGGAGTGCAAAGATATGCATGCTCATTCCTTTCCAGGAAGCACCCTGAAATTCAGCTAGGGAGAGAAGATAACTATCCATACACAATACATAGTAGCCCCAGGTGGTCTGTGCTCAGTGTGGGAGTCAGAGAAATACAATGGGCTTTCATTACCAGAAAGACTTCATCGAGAAGGAGCCACTTGAGCTCAGCCCCCAAAGATGCAGGGGATGTGCATGGAGCAAGTATTTCTGGCAAAAGAAATGGTATTAATAAAAATGCAGGCACAGGAATGTTTTAGACATGTGTGGTGGCTGGTGAAGAGATGTGTGGTTAGATGACAAAGAGAAAGATGGGTAAGAAGTTAGGTCAGAAACCGACTGTGGAGAGACTTGAATGCCTTATCCAGAACAAGTTTTATTAAATGGGAAGCAACTGATTTGGATGAGAGCCAGGACCTACGTGGGGAATGAGGATGTAGAGCCTTTCTGCAGACAGCTCCCCAAAGGCAACTGGTAGGGAAGTGAAGGGGAAGATGGGATGGTGGCCCCTAAAGGGTCAATTAAAGTTGTTAATATAGTTGGGCAAGCTGTGCATACCTGAAGGCTGAAGAGAGTGCTGGTGGAGAGAAAGATGGAATATGATGGCGAGACAGAATAATGAGCAAAGCAAGTTCTCCAGGGAGGTGAAGGGACATAGAATCTGGAACACATGTTGATGGAGAAGTTGAGTGAGGGCTGCCATTGAGAAGGAGGGAAATCGCATACTATGATACGGGAGAGATAGCAACCAGCCTGAGTATAGAGATGGAATGGTTTGAAGCAGAGAAAGGGGTAAGACATGTGTTGTTCCAGGCTAGGGTAGGCTCAGTGGGTTCGGGACAGCAGGCAAGGAGAGGTCTGGTCTGGAGAGTGATGTGATTATTTAAAATGAGGTTGAAAGGTGAAGGGATTGGTAGTTCCAAAAGAGGCACAGGGATATAAGAGAAAGCACAGGAAATATAGTCAACGATGTTGTGGTGACTATCTAGGGTGCCAGGTGGACACTTGAGTTATTAGAGGGAACACTATGCAAAGTAAATGAATGTCTATCTGCTGGGATGTACATCTGAAACTGATACGAAATAGTGTTGAATGCAAACTGTACTACAAAAATAAAATACAACGAAGCTGACGGCTCGGGATAGATGGAGAAGCAGGAAGCCTGATGAGGGACCACAGATTTCCAGAGGCAAATCCTTGCCCAGGGCCCCAGGATTAGTGACCTTCTCCTACAAGTGTGAGTTAGGGCTCTCCTTGTGGTAGATACATTCCTCCAGCCCTCAGTTTTTTCTTTTCCCATGGACTTGGAATTCTCCGGAGCTAGGATTACCTTGGTTCTCTGGCAGCACTGTGCAGTAGAATTTTCTGTGATGATATCAATGTTCTCTATTTGCACTTCCCCACATGGTAGCCACTGGCTACCTGGTGGCTTCTGAGCACCTGACATGTGGCTAACATCCCTGAGGAACTGATTTGTAAAATTTTATGTTAATTAATGTAAATAGCCACACATGACTAATGGTCCCCTCATTGGACAGAGCAGCTATTGAATAGCCCCTTTCTCCTTCCTTAGTGAAGAAGGAGATGAGACCTTCTACAGGAGTGGAGGAATGCAATGGGCCAGGTAGAGATTTGGCCCTTTACTGAGAGGTACTAGTTCTCTCAGTGACAACTCTGGTTAATCCTCGCAACAATAAGCTTGTAGTTTCAGAAACTTCACATTCTCTCCTTTTTGCTCTTGATAAGCACACTCACACAGATCAATTATTTTGGAGAATGATTTTTTTTTTCACGACTATAATCTGAGTGTTTTCTTACCGTAGTGACAGTCCTGCCCTTAAATCCATACATCTGGGAAGTTGAGTGAACTCCCTCAAGTCTTCTTGATGAGGAAGTGTGAGGACACAGGAGGCTCTTTACTCAGGCCAAAGTAGCTTCTGTGCTTCTTTTGCGGCCACAGGGAGGACGTCTGGAGTCCTAGAAGTAGCCCTGGCTTAGTATCAGTGAGACCTTGATTCAATCTTTGGTCCTTGAGGAAGTTGTCCAGTCATTTCAAATCCACATCTATAAAATGGAAAGAATGATACCTACTGAAATAAGCTGTTGCCTGTGTTGTGGCACATAATTAATAACTTATTTATATATTTATTCCACATTGATTACCAGCTAATGTGCTAGGTTCTGGGAATAAAATGGTAGGCAAAGGAGATATGATTCCTGTTCCACTAGCTTATTTCACTAGCATATGTTCTGGTGTGGGAAGGTAGGCATTAATCAAGTACTCACAGGCATATATACTATGTATTACATACTATATCTTTATAACATAAAGAGAATATTCTTGTATGAGTGTCCTGGTGCACATGTACCTGAGTTTCTCTTGGCTGCATTCCTAAGAGGAACTTCTGGGGCATAGAGTATGCCTATCTTCAACTTCACTAACTAATACCAAACTTTTCCAAAGTGGTCATACCATCTGGACTCCTCATAAGAAAAGGTGCTCAATTTCATTAGAAATGAGACACATTGTATTATTATTATTAACAGATCTTGTCCTACAAAGCAATATATTCCTGCGCCAGGTGCTTCCTTAGGGTAAGTTCTAACCCAGCAATTTTCAACCCCTTTCATCTCATGGCACACATATATGACTAAAATCCTGTGGCACACCCAAAAAATGTATTTTTTTGCCGATCTGACAAAAAAATAGGTATAATTTCGATTCATCCACACCAGACAGCTATTGTTGTTTGTGTTGGCTGTTGTAATTTTTAAATTTTATTTGGCAATCTAAGAGTAAAGAGGCCAGTGCCCTGCTTAAATAGTCAGGTATTGCATGTTTTGAAAATTCTTGCAGCACACTGGTTGAAAATTGCCTTTCTAACCCACGGGCTTTCCTTTCTACCTTAAGGCTCACTCAGAGTTTCTATCTCAGCATGAGTTACCATGAAGTGGATCACTGTGTCTCTAATGTGTTACAAGTTAGCTTCTTCCTTGTAATACTTGGCGGTAACAAACTGTCTTGTATCATAAGTGACGCAAATCAATTGTTACATCGCAGGGTCCACTGCCGCCTTGGCAGATGGTTGGTCTTTAGCATTCTGTGTAGTACTTACTATATTTGGGCGGTTGAATGGAAGGTTAAGAGCATACAGTTTGGAGCTGGACTCCTGGGTATGAATCCTCACTCACAAGAGTTACTCCTGTTTATGTGTAGGTCCTGGGAAGTGTATACTTAGCTGAATGAGACCCAGTCCATTTTCTAGTGGCTCAGATATGGGGGCATCATCCCAGTACACTGGTACAAGTAGTGTGTCTGGTGCAAGGAGCTTTGAGGGTCCTAGGGAGGAAATATCTAATTGAACAGACTTCCTGGAAAACAAAACAAAAAACGCATGCAGATGGGAGGAATTGGAGAAAATTCTGGTCAGGAAGTCACAGTACATCATGAAGAGCTTTGAATCCCAGGCCCAGGAATTTTTCTGTAATTCAGTAAGGAATGGCAGACCTTGTATTGCCAGGTGGCTGTGAGATAGGAGCTAGATTCTGAAAGGCACCCAGGTGCCCTGGGCCAACAAATGGTGGTTTAGAAACCCTATTGTTTGGCTGCCACTATCATCAGACTCTATCAGGTGCTTTTGTAAGATGAGAATAGTTGGAAAGATATATCTAGGACAGTTTTAATGCCAAATTATGTTTTTACAATTTCCAAAAACCAGTGCTAAGGTGGCTAGGGTCATTATTGTGAACCTCATTACATTACCTTATTATTTCATACAAACTAGAAATAAAATGCATTAGTACCTGACCATGGTGGTGGATACCCACACAGATTAGAAAACTGAATAGGAATACAGGTATATGCAAATGAGTACAAGTAAAACGGAAAATTTAAGGTGGATTGTATCAATGTCAACATCCTGATTGCGATTTTGGAAGACATTACCACTGGGGAGAACTGGGCAAAGTAAACTATTTCTCGGTGTTACTATTTTTTTTTTTTTTACAATTGCATGTTAATTTTCTCAACAGAAATTTCAAGGAAAATATGCACTAGTAAAATTTATGTTTTGTAGAATGAGAGTCACATTCCCCTTCTTCTAGTTATCTCAGAGTCCAGAGTGCTAACCATTACACACTGGAAGTTCTAGTTATCTCTATATAGGGGCTTCCTGAGGCAAAGGTAGGATTAAAATAATTCTGGGGAGGGGGCGGGAATGGGGAGGAGGGGCTCAATGTGGGGGGTGGCGCTGGGGGAAGGGGACATCTGTTATACTTTCAACAATAAAGGTAAATTAAAAAAATAAAAATCACGATACAAAAATATAATTCTCTTATTATGAAAGTGAAGCTTACCAACCAAAAAAACAAACAAACAAAAATATGGTGTGAAGTTTCCGGATATAGCCTTTTATAACTTAAGGAGTCTTTAACCTGAGCCATTACTTTAGAAAAGTACAACCCACAGCAACGAGTGCACTGAATTTCTTGAGTGGCTTGGAGGAGACCGTGCTCACAGGGCCAGGGTTATTACGAACTTTGTCACGATCACTTCTCTGCTACGCTAAAGGTTTCCTTTCCCAACGGCAGGGCCCACTTGGACTTGAAAGAGAGCCTCGAACTTTTATAAAGTGAAAGGAGAGGAAGGAATGGCCGGCTGGGAATCCGGCCCCGGGAAGGCATCCACCTTAATGTCCAGAAGGGACCTCTCACTCCTCCAGACTTGCAGATGCTCACGAAGCCAGGCGCTCCCTCGGCGGCCGCCCGCGCGGCG